CATAAAGATTTGCACCGATTGATATGTAACTATCTGAAAACGTTTGTTCGACGTGAGGGTGGTGCCCCCTGGCGATGTTTGTTCGACGTGAGGGTGGTGCCCTCTGGCGATGTTTACTTGGTTACTAACGTTGCGCACGTGGCTCTTTATTGATCTCTATGAACTTTTAAAGAGATTAACAAACTACTCTGGCTTTCTGGTAATCTGAATTCAGTTGATGTGTAATTTTCATATTTTCAACTTTTTTCTGGGATTATAATATGAGTCCTTATGTGTAATCGCTTTCATTGACCCATATCCTTGAGGCATAATTATCAACTTTGAGTAATGCCCTTTTTGTTATACCTCACTGTTCTAAAATTCTCTCGAAGCTTGAAATCGAACAGGTGTTATAACTTTAAATTCACCGTGTGTAGGTAGTTCCATTAAACAAAAATCCACCTTCTTCCGTGTTGTTATAATATTAGTCATGTTTTTGTTAGTTAAATGCAAAGTTACACAATGGGCTATCTGTGCTATGTCCACCACGGATATCGAAATCCGATTTCTAGCGTTATAAGCCAACTGACTTACTACTAAGCCACTGGGGGGCGAAATAAATTTGGAAAAATATTTTGAGATTAAAATCTGAAATGTCGCCTGAACTGTACGTGTCGAATATGAACTTATTGAATTATCTTTAGAATTTAATACAGAACAAATTAACGGATTAGGGAGGTTGCAATCTTGAAGATTTGTTTCTGAATCCCGATATCTCCGCCGGGATTCTAAATCATCTTTTATTTATAAAAGTTATATTGTTTTCACCAAGAGTAATTAAAGTATCTATAATCTTTAATTAACTTATACGATTTAAAACTTATGTAATTGGTAAAACTTGAAGCATTTGTACGAATAGCTTAGTTGTTAAAACTGTTACCTTGTGAACGCTTGAACTGGTTCCCTTTCTTACGTACATCACCACCATCCAGTAATTAGAGTGTAACGTTTAAACTTAACTAAAGGCAGCTTTCTTTGAATGAAGTTTAATCAAGAAACAACATAAGTTACAAATGTTCAACGAATTGGTTAAGTATCGCGATTGGGGTCGAGGATATAAGTAACACATTCTTCAGTCCGAAAATTGTTAAAATTAGGACTCTGCGAAGATTCGATTTCGAATCGGGACTGGAGATTCGATTCGTTAGCTGGGCTCTGATTCGATAGTTTCGAATCTACATCACTTCCGGTAAACTTTAGAATTTAGCTTATACTTTAGTCTATACACTGGAACCTATTTTAATTTGGTCTATACACTGGAACCTATTTTAATTTGGTCTATACACTGGAACCTATTTTAATTTGGTCTATACACTGGAACCTATTTTAATTTGGTCTATACACTGGAACCTATTTTAATTTGGTCTATACACTGGAACCTATTTTAATTTGGTCTATACACTGGAACCTATTTTAATTTGGTCTATACACTGGAACCTATTTTAATTTGGTCTATACACTGGAACCTATTTTAATTTGGTCTATACACTGGAACCTATTTTAATTCGGTCTATACACTGGAACCTATTTCCTTGTAATAACACTTTTCTACCGTTCTTCTTCCAGATGTTTAAGTACATTATGTCCTTTGTTTTTAGAAAGATTTACTTTTATGCTCATTACTAATTGTGTGTAGAAACACTCCACATAAATATAGAAACCATTTTCTATTTGATTTAAAATTTAATTCAACCTACGTACCCTGTAATCTATACATACACAGCCGGTTCGAGATTGGAATTGGAAAAAAAATTGTGATTCGCAGGGCCCTAGTTAAAATACAATCCCAGGATTCTCTCCTACAAATCTTGGTGTATTTAGGGAACTATTTTAGTATAAGGTGTCCCGATTGCAACCCCTAGTACAGACTAAGGTTATAGCAGCACAAAATAATTATTAACGCTGTTTCAGAATATGTAAAGTTCTGCCATCTTAAGTAGTTCAACTACAATTCTACAACTTAAAATACTTTGAATAATTATTATATTTAGTCAAAATGGAAAGTGATGTGTGTTATAACATGTTCTATCGTTAAGTCCAGCCGACGTAATGATGACGAATTTATTTATTTTGTAACGATTCTTCAGGCTAAGTTAACTTTGATACTAGTTGTAGGCCTAAGTTCACAAAAAAGTCTCGGTAGAAACTGCAGTACTCATTTATGTTTTAACTCGCAAATAAACTTACTTACAAGATTTCGTTGCTAATAAATTGAAACTGAGTAAACGTGATAATTCTCTCTCGTAACACTAAATTGAATCACTCATTGTATACTAATTTCTCTTTAACTGATTACTAATTCTCGTATTTATATCATACTCTTGTTTCTAAATACTGCACGAAATTTCTAGATTCTACAGAGGCCTAGACTTTATTTTTTTAAATACATTGCATCATTATTAGCTAACAAACACCAAAACTGAAACATTAAAAATAACAAACGTGGTACCAGAACTAAAGAACAATGCTTATGAACATTTTATAAAAGATTCTAATGCATTCTTTATATATCTTATCTTAGTTGTTGAGTGGTTTGTAAAATACATTTTGATAGATTTAAATATTTGTGAAAACTGTCAGATTTTGAGTAGCGTTAACTCTTCTAGTTGGAGTTGCACGACTTTGTGCATAATTTGTAGTTAGACCAATTAAAATATCTTGTTTTTGTGGGAAGATGTATTTTAGACATGCTTTAAGTGTAACTAATCGTCCCCTTTGTACTTCACTATTTCGATATCTGACAGGTGATCCTATGTGTTCTCATCTGTAAACAGTAACCACCTTGTTACCACTGGCTTCCATTTATGTTCTCCTTGAACTGTTGTTTTAAATGTTTATACGTAACATTGTGTAAAAATAGGCACAGCAGTGCCACAATGTAAGAAAACATGGTGTGGTATCTCGAGTAAGGCCAACAAAGCAGAAAAAGACTCGGGCCCGCTAATAACGGGAGGTTCTAGGATCTCGGGCGTTTGTGTGTATTTCACAACGAGTTACGACGGTTGAGTCAACAAGAATGACTGACCCCAGTAAAATCTTTATTCACACAACGAGTAATGTAAATGTTTTACTTGACTGACCAGCTTCCAATTCACAACAGAAGATTAACTGGCTGCTGGGGCAGAGCAGGCTGGACTAGGACACAACCAAGAACATACTGTTTGAATTCAGGTCAGAGTCCTAGAGTGGCATCACGCAATCATTAGGCTACGTTCGTAAATTAATAGTTCTATTAAACATATTCAATGGAGAAAAATTTGTACTAACTTGCACAAGTTTCCGTGCCTTCTCTTGAAATGGCTATGGCCTCACTTCAGGAGGGGCACGATGCATAAACAGGAGAAAGCAAGTACAAACCTATATAACAAGTGTTTTATTAAATAACCTTTGTCTAAAGTAGAGGATTAGTATCAGCTGACGTACTTTTTCAATCTGCTTTACAAAGATGATGCGGAAACGCCTGTACGAATATTGCCTGAATAAAAAAAAATAAAAAAAAAAAAAAAATGATCTTCATAAATGTGAGAAAAAATCGTACGTGTTAGGAAGAATAGCCGGGGGATCGAAAGACCACCAAATATTCTAAAGCCTAAAACATCTTCTATTTTGTAATTTTAAATAAACACTTGACTTTCATGTACTTAAATTCTTTGTGTATAAGAAAAGATTTACATTTTCCCCTTTTTTCAAATGTCCCCTCCCCACCCCTCTGTAGTGTTGTCTACATCCCTGATGTATGTAATGTAGTTAATCGGCATTAATATTATTAGTTTAGTTTCTATACTGTTCGATAGTCGTTGACTAAATCAGAGCCTCAGTACAGTTTAATACAAGAGCTCGTGTTTTTTCTGTCACTGTCAAAAAATGTCTTGTGTCTAAATTATTTTTTAACCTGCATATGTTTATGCTTGTAAAATTCTAATCGTTTGGCTGAAGTATGAGTGACAGTCGGAATAGTTAAAGAAATAAATAATATCTCTAACAAGGCTTTTAATTGGGTAAATTAACGAAGAAAGAACATTAGTTGCAATCAAATCACGTGACAAAGAAAAATATGCAATAAGTTTAATATTTCAATAAAGGGTAAAACCCGGAATAGAAGGTTTACCTAACAAACTGTGACAAGCTACTCAAGGAGAAGGCGATAAAAAACTAGCTAGGTTAGTTTTATAAATATTCACGTTAAATATTCTTAGTTTATTAAAGGAAATTGGCTAATTTAGCGAGTACAGAAAGAGGGACAACCCCCTGCCTGCTCAAGGACTATTAAGGGCTGGGAAGGATTAAGGTCTAAGCAAGTCAGGTTTTTTTTTTAATTGATTGCACTTAGATAACTCGTCAGTCTATATCAGTTTAAAATTTTAGGTGACATAACTTAGGAGTTTGATTTTTAATAGGTAACACAATGAAGTGTGATCGTTTTTACATTTAGGTCTTCTTTAAAATATCTGTTCTTTCGAATATTCATATTTTTGCTAAGGTTATTGTAATGAAAAGAAGAAACCTAGGGATGCTAACGTTTGAGAACACCTCGATACAAGTGTAAACTTCTAACAAGGTCGCTCCTATCGGGAGTGCGTGTGTGTGTGGGGGTGGGGGGGGCTGGTCCCCTGAAATTTCGTTATTCCGAAGCTAATGCCGTCCAATAATCCGGTGTTAGATTTATTTTAGATGTGGTCTCATATGTTTCATTACCTGCCCCCCACCACAAGTTAAAAGCTTGGACTGACTTCAACAAATAAATAGACAAGAACAACTATTAAGTAGTGTATGTTTAATAAACTACGTGATTCTGTTCTTAATTGTAAATAAATATTAATACTATAAGAATTTTTTTTATTCATTAAATACATTTACTTGCGATTTTTGTGGGTAGAAAATTGTACATCTAAGTGATTTTTAACGACAGCGGTGAAGTGTATATCATTGTTTAAATTTATTGTTTTCACATACCCCAACAGAGCCCGAAAGATGTACAAAATGTGTCTACAGTGAAAGACAGAGGTATGACGGATGGTTCAACAACTTGGCTCATCCAGAATGGGGTTCGATAGGTGAGGTTTCCGACTGTAAATCCTAATAGTGTAAAAAAAAAAACTGTCAACGTTTCTTTGTTTTCTTTCACGACGTACCACCAAATATACACGATAAATAACGTGTAAAGATTCATTTCTTACAACATCAAACATTTAGTGTATATTTTGTAAAGTATCCAGCAAATGTTACATAGAACATAAGTTTCAGTTCCCTCCTGAACTTTGGCTATATGAGCTCTACAGTACGTTGTCTGAGCTCGCATATTAAAAGAGCATGCGCAAAACGCAGCATATAATCAGTCGTCCATCCTTCGCCACTGTTTTCAGAACTGTGATATAAATGTTACTTCAGAAACACTTCAACATTTTGGGGGAGTGCGGATAGAAAAATGTTACGCAGCAAGAAAACTTTGTGGACACATAAGATGAATTAATGTTAATCAAACAACTTCACCTTTGTTCCTGAAACTTTAAAATGATCAGACTGAAAGTGGGGAGTCGTGAGCTTTTTAGGTCAGAAAATGTTTGTATGTCTACATGTATAAGGGCTTTAAAGAGTAATTGAATAACCACAATCCCAAACAAAAACAAACGTTTCTTTGACTTGTCAATGAAGAAACACAATAAGCTGAAGTCTGTCTTCAGGAATACTGTATCATTCCGTACTGTTGTGTACCATATGATGGCTTCTGAAAACCGGGAGTGTGAGATGAAACATTTCTGGTTGACTAACTGAAGGTCTTATCTGTAAAGTTACCGTCACCAGCAAGAACGGTTCCCCATCAGGGGGTAAAGTTGGTATCGGGGGATATTCTTGTAGCGACTAGTTGTTATTTTATCATTCATTCTGACAATCACTCGGTGTAACCAGATGAACAATCTTTGGTAGGCAGTCTTCACATAAAAACGCGTATTGACTTGAGGTGTGGTGGGAAAATGTGGATTTAGCTGACCAAACCAACTTTCAACACTGTTCGTAAGTGTGTAACGTATCGTCACTACTATCTGTCCAATAGTTTTTCCCCGCCGATTGAATTCGAGTCTTATATTTTTCTCTTGCTTTGGTTGCTTCTGGCGTCAAACTCCGAAACCCGACAGAACTTAAGAATTTTAATGAAAGATCACAAATACTTTGTTGAGGAAAATTTCGATATGCATAAACAAGTTTTTATTTGGAGATTTTACTGAAAGACTTAAGCCTAAATACGCCACTCATTTAATAGTAAATATACATTACTATATACCAACGTTAAAACAAAAATATCTTGTCCTAATGAAAACGTTGGTCAACAATAAATTATTTTTATGTTGTATACAAAATGTTTGCCAGCTATGTCCAGAAAATGCTTGCGACGTTTCTTTCGGTTTGCACTGACTTCTGGTAAGTGTAAAAGTGGTCACGCTCTTTAAAGTAATGGCCACAATAACACAATTCGATGACGAGGAACCCACTTTGAGACTAATAATGCTTGGAGACGTCTTGAATGGGTGATGAAGAAAAACTGTAATACAAGTTCAACATAACAGCAAATGTACAACGTTTCGACAAGGATTATTCATACCTGATGATGACAAAACCTTGTCGAAACGTTGTACATTTGCTGTTA